CCCAGCCTGGATTGCTACCAGGGATTGCCCTGACTCAGGTGTAGCAATTAATTTCCATGCCCACCTCAGGCACAGTCTCACTCAAATTTTAGGGTGGAGAGGGCTATCCAATTTACCTGGCACAATTGTTCTAAGCTGCCTAACCTGACAATGATAAATGTTATTGATATGTGCTGGAAGAAGTTCAATATGTTTCTATTTGTGTGCACTGGAGTCTTAGAACAGGATTTTAAAATGTTAAGAAGTGACAGGAAATGCCAAGTATCTGTTCTCAACTCAGGATTTAGTTTGTCAAGTACTGAGCAGCCAGGACTATATTTTTTTCTAAAAGCCTGATATTAAAGCACTCAACTAAAAAGTGGAAATTCCAGTGTTCTTGTCCTCTTCAGTGCACTGAGCTGCAGATCCTGACCCCATGAGTCCAGATAAGTGGCTCTCACTATGCTCTGAAGCTGAAGTATAGCACAGTTTACCATTGTAAGGACACAGAGAACACAAAGAAGTGGGGAGTCTCCAGGAACTCCTCATCACCAGTTATTTTCACAGTGCTTTTTAGTGCTTCCCCATATACAGAAGAGGGCATGTGGACAGTGTCTCTTTTCATGTCTAATATTAGAATGTATCTAAAACCAAACAAAACAAAAGGACTATATTTCCATCACCTAGCTCCACCTAAAATTGACTGTATCTTCTGTGTCCCATTTTCTGGCTGTGAGTTTTTTGAAGCATGTACTCCATGGAAATTATAGCCTAATTGGAATTTAAGCTGCCTGAAAATAGCTCCAAGGCAGCACCAGTAGAATTTAGGGGAGATTGTCTAGCTTCAGTGAATCTGTGCAAATATACACAGCCCTGGAATTCTTTTGCTGATGTGAGGAGCTGGGCAGGGTGCAGAAATGCTACAGGAGTCCAAATCCATCTCCTCATCCTTTCTGCTGCCTGAGCACAGAAAGAGAGTGTGGCAGGATGGGCAAATATATGTCTGGGAGTGTGATGCTCTATGCTGACAACACAGAGCTTCAGAGGATATTGCATGCATGGCAGTGAAAGAGTGTGCCTTATTCATGCTTCAAAATTGTCAGTGTGAAATACTGTGATTATCATTTTAGATTTGACATGTATAACTCATGCATTCTTAAGGTAGTTTGAATGTAACCTAAATTACTCTTCCCCTAACTATCTGGTAAGAATGAAATTCAGCTGTCACAGATAAGAGTAATGATATTTATTAATAGAATTATAATAGAACTTAAATGGGCAGAGTACATCAGGACAGGAGATCACAGTCCTTTAGGGACTGATTTATCCTTGACTTCTATGAGCCTTTGTTATGCTAATGATAGATACATATTCCCCAAATCCTTTTGGTCTTTCTGTGCCTTAACCTTTGATTTCTTTATTAACTCTCTTCCCTTGTCACTACATGTTCTTGTTAATTCAGATCAGGTTTTGCAACTTGCATCATACTTTACTTTTTTTAATCAATATGGTTTACTTAGTTCCCTAGAAGCTTATGTGTTTTCCCCTCTTTGCTGCACCTCCTTTCAGTGCTTCCAGAAGGGCCTGTGGGTGAGCTGGCACCAGCTGGACTCTGATTTCCTGTGGAAAACCTGTACATGGGTTTCCTTTATTCCTACAACAGTCAAGGCAACCAACCTAATTAATCACTCCAAACCTTCATTAATAATGATGTTTTCCTTAATGTTTTATCTAAGGATGTAATTTGGTTTTTTAGGCATTTGCATAAACATGGCAATTTATGTTGGCCCTGGGTCTATGATTTTCCTGATGTTGAAAATCCTTCAATTTCTAAAGTCAAGAAGTATGTTTAGGTGAATAGTTGTGGGCATGGGTGGTTAGTTCACAGTTAGTAAACACTGACCATCATGATACAAGTCAATTGCCTCCTTATCAGCAGTAAATAAAAAAGCTGTTTATAGATAGTAATGTCTTTAAGGATATAAACAAGAGCAAAATATATAGGTCAATGTAGATTATCAGCTGTAAGAATTGGTATAAGACCATTAGAAAGCTTTAAGAAAAGCTATGAAGTACAGGACATTTTACGTGAGCTTGTTTTAACATAAAAAGGAGGTTGCTTTTGGGTTTTTTTTTCCCTGAAACAATATATACTACTGTAGTGTGTAGCTACTTCCTTGTACTTTGTCTAGTATAGGTATGCCTTGAAACATCACATATTCTTTCTTGGGACTAGGCATCTATGAAACATCAGCAGCATAATTTTTGCTCATGTGCTGGGCTCTGAACTCAGATGCAATTAAATATTCATCAGGATAGATACCCTGACTCTAGCTATACTTGTAGTAGGTATGAAAGATTAATTCAGTGTTATGTTTCTGTTTAAAAGAAGAGGCAAAATGAGAATTTCTGCTGAAAATTTCAGTTTTCAGGTTTAGAAATTATGAACATTGCTATGTTTTTTAAGGCGCCTGTAAAATAAATTATATGTATAGAGTTATATTTTAAATAAAATCATTCTCTTTTAAGACACCTGTCCCAGCATTTTCCTTTGGGAGTACTTTGCTGTCTTTACCTTGTCATTTCAAATTATAGTTTCTTAACTGAATGTGCAGCAAATAACCTGCACATTAAAACTAAGGGCATTGCATAACAGAAAGGTAAAGTTTTACAGATTTTGTTGTATATTATAAATGTGATTTGTATATTCTGTTTTGTCAATAATAAGATTTTAAATTATATTTTTACCTGCGGGAGTAATAGTTTCTTTGAGGGAATTTCTAGTAGAATTCATTTATACAGCAATATTCCAAAAGAGGGGGGTTAAAGCAGCAACACAGAAATTCCAATTTCTGTCCCTTGCAGGTCCTTCCCCCCCTCTGCATTTTCCTCTTACAAAATGTACCTACATTAATGAAGTTTGGTCTCAGTACCAGTGTGGAATCTGGTGGGTAAACTCAATCAGCAAGTTTGAAGTCCTAATCCTTGCAAAGCCAGTATGAATATCAGATGTTATCAAGAGGGCAACAGTAGATGATACCTGGTCCAACAATTGCTGTAAATGTGATCTCACTGATTCTGTATTTCCCTCTGTATTTTACAAAGCACACTGATTTAGAAGATGTCTTTGGTTTATAACTATTAGTGTTAGAAGGACAGAAAAATGTGCAAAAATATTTGGGCATGGTGTGAAATGAAAGCCATTATCTATTTTGTTATCAAATTAGGGATTTGCTCAATAAAATAGATGATTTTATTTTTAATTATGATTGTGCTGCAATTATCACACATTATGTTGTATAAATAGGGTTTTTTTCTGATTTTCAGTAATTGATTTTTCTACAGCTACTCTCTCTAGAATTTATAAAGGAAATTATGACCAGGCCTACACTCTTAGAGCACAGCAGGATCAGGATCATATCTTAAAACAGATTTCCTGGACCTCCTTAGGTGGGAGAAGGAACAAGCAAGGCCTCAGTTCGAGCTCACGATTCACTTGGTCTTCCACTTGGCTGAAAGAGGTGTCACTTGTAGTGCATTTTCAGGTCCTTGCATAACAGTCAATGGCAGTTGCCTGTGGAGGGATGGAAGGACAAAAGAGCTGAAATTCAGTACTCCTTTCTGTTTTGAAACAATAATTAGCTGTCACACAGCTGTGCTGCCAGTGAGCTGGCTGTGCAATGGACTTTCAGTAGAGTGATCAGCCTGGATAAAATGGAAGGAAGCTAAAAAAAAGAGATTTCTGACAAAGAAATTTGGACTAACATAAAGTAAGCAAACGTGTCCATTATTATGTATTATAGTAGATGAGACACTCTATAGACAGAAAAGATGAGCTTCAGGTTCATAAGCCCTGGTCCTCGTGGGGAACTTCAACATCCCCAAGGTCTGTTGGAGGGGCAACACAGCAGGACAAGAGCATTCCTGGAGTACATTGAGAATAACTTCCTTCTCCTGGTGCTAGAGAAGCCATTGGGGTGATGCTCTATGCTGGACTTTGTTCTCACCAGCAGGGAGGGGCTGGTGGGGAAGTGAAGCTCAAGGCTAGCCTGGGCTGCAGTGACCATGAAATGATGAAGTTCAAGAGCCTTAGAGCAGGGAGGAGAGTGCACAGCGAGGTCTGGCCTGAATTTGAGGAGGGCAGGCTTTGGTTTCTACAGGGAACTGCTCGGTGGAGTGCAGTAGGATAGAGCCCTGGAAGGAAGAGGGACCCAAGAGACATAGTTAATATTCAAGGATTACCTCACCCAATCATGCATTCCAATGAAGAGGAAGTCAACACAGTGTCTATGTCAGGGGGCTTGGAATTAGATCTTTAATGTCCCTTCCAACCCAAACTCTTTTATGAGTCTGTGATTCTATTTTATATCAGTGAAAAAAGGGAGTTCTTCTGGTGTTCTGTTAACTGAGCCAACAGAAATTGCAGTGCTGAAGTCGGTACCTTGTTGACTTAAAAAGGGACTATTTTATTTCATTTAATAATTTTTTATCGTAAACATAGCTTTGTTACTTGACGTTTTTCAGGATATACAAAATAAGTGAATGCTACTTTCTGTGATGGTAATTGGTATTGAATTAAATCATCCAGTCATGCTAATGTCCAAAATAAGGTAGAATTTGTGTTTTGAGTGCATAAAGATCAGCAGGGAAGTTTTGCAAAAAAAAAAAATTAATAAAATGCACTTTTTTTTGTCTAATTACAAGTCATTTGAAATTAGTACCTTCTGTATGCAAAAGTCCATCTGCATTTTGTATAAAGATACATTTTTTTATGTTTATGCCTTTTGTGGGTTTTTTTGCATGTTCATGCTCTTTATGATCATCTTCACCACCCATACATGTACATTTTTCGGTCCGTATATTATAGGTAGTTGTCCACTCCCACTTGTACAATTTTTCAGCATAGCAGTGATAATGCTGAACAATTCGGCAAAATACAATCCACAGAATTTCTGGTTTGGGTGGCTTTCCAGCTCAGCCAAAGTACAAAGTTTCAGAAAGTTTCAACTTTTGCATTTCAGGATTATAATGATGAAATTCGCCAGGAGCAGCTGAGAGAACTTTCGTATCTGAATGGTTCTGAGGATTCATCACGTGGACGGGGCATTCGAGGAAGAGGGATCCGTGTGCCACCTGCAGCTCCTTCAAGGTGTGGTAACCTGAGCTATTATGTTAATAGCTTTACAAAGTGTCAGCAGTAATAAAAAAACCTATTGTTAAAAGAAAAAAAAGACAGTTGCATACATATCCTGATCAGTAAACTAAAATATTTGTCCTCTGATGTAGTCTGTATTGTTCCAGGTTTTCTGACCTACAGGGCACAGTGAGTGACAATAAATGAGAGCAGATTATGAAGACAGGAAAAGGATATTTCTAAAAAAGTATACTTTTATGCTAGTACTAAGGCAATACGGTCAGTAGCATAAAATGTTTGGTCAAAATAATAGTGTAGTCAGAGAAGGCCTCATAGTCTAGGTGGAACTTAATTTGCCAAATAATTACTTTTTATACATATTACAACTATACTGTCTGTATATACAAATATACGGTTTATATATGTATAAACTTCATTATATGTTATGTGTTGATGGGTTATCAGTTTTAAGTGAATCTGGTTGGCATAATCTAAAAACATTGAAATGTGAATGTGCCCAAGTATTTTTTTCATATCTAAATAACAGATATCACTGCTTATTATTAAGGCAAATGTGAAATCTTAGAACATTCTCTCAGATTTGTTTTTCCCTGTGAACCCTTAAGAACTTCATTGCCTCAAGTATCTAAGTTAACCTGTTTCCAGTCTTCTTTCCATAGAGGTCATTTCCAGATAAGTTCTAAAAAATGGACTCTATTTTGAAGGAAATAGGATATGGGGTACCTTATGTTATGCTGACAAAGGAGTTGTTGGTAATTGAATGGGCTGATCTTTCCTATGACCTCTGAGGTTTTTTCCCTAAGGGTGTCTATCAAGTTTGCCATCAGTTTTTCCTACATGAGCTTTTTAATTGGTAGTATGATGCACTTACACAGAATTCTTTGCAGCTGGCATTCATGACCATCTTCTACTAAAAGAGTGTCTGGATTCAGTCTTTCTTACATCCAAGATCTCTGAACAGCTTGACTTAATAATGTAGTTCAGAATGTCACTTTAACAAACCAGCAGCTTTTAAATTCGGTTCAAAGCTTAATTGGTGGAGTTCTGGCCCCTAATTCCTGCAAAATGCCCAAATGACTGAATCAGTTGCACAGATCCCCATTTTCCAGGCAAAAATCCCAGAAGAATATTTCAAAAACCTGTTGAAGCAAGTCCAGAGGACCCACAAAAATGGTCAGATGTCTGGAGCTCCTCTCCTTATGAAGTCAGGCTGAGAGAGCCGGCTTCTTCAGCCCGGAGAAGGGATACCTCATTGCAGCCATTCCATACATAAAGGGGTCTAATAAGAAAGAGAGAGACTTTTTGCCAGTCTTAAATGAAAAACGGTTGGACATAGGGAAGAAACACTGGAAAAAGTTGTGTGTGCTCCATCACTGGAAGTGTTTAAGGTCAAGTTGGATATATCTTTAACAATTTGATCTAGCAAAAGATGTCCCTGCCCAAGACATGGGATTTTGACTAGAGGATCTCTGAAGGTCCCTTCCAACACAAACCATTCATTGATTCTGCAAGTCTAAAATCAGCTACTGAAACTTGTAATAAAGTAATGAACATCACAAGCTAATGCAGTGGGTTTGGTTTTCTCAGCAGGGAACAAGCCACAATTCCTACTGCTACAGGAGATCTGAGTTCCATTCACAACTGTGGTGTCATGCAGGGTTGTTATACCTGGCATTCACAGTCTTCCAAAAAGACAGCACACCCAGAAGCATATTGCTCTGAAACAAAACTCACAGACTGCTACCCTGATTTATCCCCCTTCTACTTCATCATATGCTATAGATACATGTATTTTTAAACAGCTTCTTATGAGTTACTATTTGTACAGCAAGGGAGATATAGCATAAATAGTCCAGAGGATGCTAAACCTCTTTCCATGCTTGTCAATATGCTCTATTCTCTCTCTGAAGTGGGGGAAGGTAGAATCCCACACTACCAATCCTTTGTGCTGAACTAAATTACACAGGAAGAAAAGTTGTTCCTTTCCTTTTATATTCTTCCTCTACTTTGCCTTGCAACATTGTGCAGTCCAGCAGTATGTTCTGCCAGTCCATTTCTCTCACCCACCAATAAGCATGAAAATGAGAGTGATGACTGCTCTTGTAAAATAGATTGAGAGCAACAGAAGAGGTTCCTCATTTTCTTAATCTTCTAGAACTGCTTTGGAGTAATTCTACAACACTGTGAATTACAGTGTTTCAGAATTTTATTAGTACAAGCAACAATAGGATCAGGTGCAAAAGGCACTGAGTAGTTTAAAAATAATGCCTTTCCTTAATATGAGTTCTGCCTGAGATGTTGCCTAAAAGTGCTTGACATTGTAGCTGCCAAAACCCCAGAGTTACCCGACGCTTTAAATAGTAATAAAAAGATGAGAGCCTTTAAAATGGGGCACGTCTTCCCTCATTGCACACGCCAGTGACCGTTCCTTTTTGCTCCCCGCAGGGGACGTGGCGGTGCCATTCCTCCGCCGCTGCCCGGACGAGGAGCCCAGGCGCCGCGCGGCGCGCCGGTGACCCGCGGGGCGCTCCCCGCGCCGCCGGTGGCCAGGGGCGTCCCCACGCCCCGAGCCCGCGGCGCCCCGTCCGTGCCCGGCTACCGGCCGCCCCCGCCGCCCGCGCACGAGGCCTACGACGACTACGTGAGTACACGGCTCGGTCACAGCTGTGCCCGAGCTCTGCCACGGACCGCGGGTCCCCCGGCGTGGAACGGGCCGGCCGGCAGCTCCCGTGCCTCTAACGCTTTGCCCCTGCAGGTGAACGACGGTCTGGGCGATGCAGCGCGCCTGCAGGCATGTGCTCGCCATGTGGGTTTGTAGATTGGGTCACAGCTTAGTTCTGGATAGGAGAGGTCATGCTGGATAGTTCTCGGGGTGTCACAAAAGAGCAATACAGATTGCTAAAATTTGTATTATATACTTAAAATCAGTTTTTTATCGTAACTAAGTTCCTAAGAATAACAGCTTATATCCTTCTTGAGAAAATGAGGAGATGGAGGGGGAGTCATGCTGTTGTTCTAAATCCTTTTTATTACATATTTGTATTCAACACCGTCTTACACATACATAACAAATAGAAATTCCGGTAGTTTTCATGAAAGCTGATACATTGATTCATCTTTAGCCAGGAGCAGTACTAACTGACTGTCACCTTTTCTTATGAGGTGTTAAAAATAATTGTGCTGTTCACATCAAAGCTTTCAAGTCATCCTCATTAATGTTTCCTCCTGGAACTATCACCATAACAACAGATATCCAAATAGAGAAGAAACTGCTATCAAATACAATGTCTGAATTTTCCAGCTATGGCAAGTCCAAGAATAAGATGAACATCCGATCTATTCCCTAATCCTACCCCAGGGAAAGATACACTTTTATTCAATTAATAGTCTTCCTATAACAGAAGAAAGGAAAATGAATCAGAAATTATTCTTTGTTGTTAAATCTTCACTCAACCATGTATATTTGTAGTGTAGTGACTAGATCACGGCCACCTCAAATCAGGGATGCACATTCTGTTAATTCTAAGAATCACAACTGAGCAACAGCAGGAAGGAAGGAGGGGGGGGAAATTCACTCCTGTATTATTTATCTCAACACAGTTTCCATTAATGAATGAGCTAAAGGTCCTGCTAAGAAATGGAATTTCTTAAGTATACACATCCTTGACAGACAGTGTATTATTGTCTGTTAGTATCAAAATGTATGAGACCTGCCTTTCTGTGCAGATACAGAACCCTTGTAATGTGAGATTAGGATTATAATTGAGGTAATTTCTTTTTTCATTTACAGAACTAGTAAATGTCCTAGAGTATTAAGCATCTTCTAGGGAAAATTTCTTTCACTTTTTCTGGATGCTAAATATATGGAAAGTGTAGAAAATAATCTGGCTCCTGCACAGTGTTGATGAAAGGAGGCAGAGACCTCTGAAGTTTGCTCTTGGGGAAAGAGGTTTATTGGGGGTGCAGGAAGGTCCTGCCTCATGCTCCCAGACGCAGCACGTGGCCGGGCCTGAGAGGGTGGGGAAGGGGAGACACAAAAGGAGGGTTCAGGAGAGGGGAAGCTCCAAGGGAGGGGAAGCTCCAAGAGGGGAGGAAGTTCCAAGAGAGCGTGTGGCCTCTCGAAGCCTCCTTATCAGGGGCTCCTAGGTGGGTTGGGATAAGGCATCGCCAATGGGGTTACAGACATTCGATGTTTTAGGGGAAGGTACAGAGGTGTGGGGTGAGCCATACATCTTTTGGGGGGTGGGATGGAACAATCCATTTCACCCCAGGACCCATCCAAAGGCAGGGGTGTCATCCGGCTAGCTGGGAGAACTGTTCTCATCCTAGCTGTATTATTTATGAACAATTATATTTATCTATCATCTGCAACAGGAAAGCAAAATGAGAGAAAAATTGAGGCAGCTGGATTATCAGGGTTAGGAAGGCATTCAGCTAGTTCCCCATATTTTTGAAATGCCCACACTCTCAGGAGCACAAAACATATACGCAATTAAAATAGTCAGTTGAATCTGTGATACATGAGTCCAAAAAAAACAAACATATGTGTTTGTGGGTCTTTTCCCCCTTAAATAGCAGCATAAAACTATGCTGCCTTATAGGTCAAAATTCACATTTTTTGGAGACCTTCCATCTCCTGTGTCCTTTCAACACACCTATATTCCACAGCTAGGAATATATGAGATTGCTATCATGAGTTTGCAATGAAAATTTCTTGGTTTTTTTATAGAAGTTTGTAAGTTTAATCCATATCATTTTGGTATTTTATGGTCTGAGATAATAACTAGAGCTCTGATGCTATGCTGGTAGAAGGAAAAGTTCAGTGTCACATATCTGCATATAATATTGCAAATTATGTTTTAGGGAAAATATTTTTATTTTTGCAGAAAGTAATCAACACAGTTTTTCTTCCCAAACAGACCATATAATAAATCATATATTTGGTTGGACACTAAAAGCAAGTGAATCTACTTGTGCACCTGCAACAAATGTCATGTGTAATTGTTGTTCTTTTCCCCTTAATCCTACAGATGAAAAACTAATTTATAATGAATAATTTATCCAATTTACTTTTTTGTCCCTGCTTCTAAGCAACCCACAAGTGTATTAAAATTTCCTTATGATTTTGTATTTTTCGTTTTTGATTACAGTTATTTCACATTTTTTTCCTACTATTTGCAAGCACCATTGGTTTGATTAGTGGTACATATGAATGCACTGTCAGTGATTGTGAGTATCAATATTCTATATTTTTGTTTGCTCTAATGAAATACAGTAACTTGAATGTTGTTCTGAAAGTGAATTCAAGAGATAGAATCAAATGGCTGCAGCAGATTTTTAAAAAAATGTTTAGACAGCATTTCCTGAAAAAAAATCTTTAGCCATTTGCTGAGCACTACTAATCAGAGATTGTATTGACTGTTTGACCTTTAAACATCTAACTGTTCAAATCGGTTTGGATAAGCATTTAAAAGTTTGGATTATCCACTATATAAATACTTTGAGGTTTTCTGATGGCCTTTCTGAGAATCCATAAAAGTAGATGTCTGAAGGTTTCTCAAGAAAAGTGAAGTCCTATCATTGTGGTGAATATATTCATGTGCAACATTTTGAATGTCAGGCCTAGCCAGAGGGAAAAACATTTGGAACAACTTTCAGAAAAGAGGGCTGGAGCAAGAAGGAGGAGTGACTCACCTCATGCCTTTTTCTTTACTTGCCTTTGAAACTTGCTTTATATTGAGTACAGCCTAGACAGTATCTTAGAGGAGCTTCTTACCCACAGGAAGAGGAGGTACTGACATTAGAAAATGCATGCAAAGGGAAAGTAGTTACTATGTGAACTTTCTTCACTTTAACAGCAGTTCATTGGTTATGAATCTGGATTAGAGTGTAAGTGGCAGCTGCTGTGCAGTTTCTGGAATTCAGAAGGGTGGTTCAGGGCTTGTGATTTGGTGTTGTGTTTTAACCATAGCCAATGACTGAGCCACACACAGGTGCTCACGTCCCTGGTGAGGTCAAGGAGAGACAAAGAAGTGTAAAAGTGAGAAAACTGTTGGGTTGAGACAGGATAGTTGTAGTGGGTTGGCACTGGCTGGATGCAAGGCACCCACACAACCATCTCTGTCACTCCCCTCTGCAACTGGACAGGGGAGAGAAAACACAATGAAAGGTTTATGAGTTGAGATAAAAATCGGGAGAGAAATCACTTACCAAAGTGCGTGATACTATCAAGGGCAAAACAGACTGAGTTTGGGGATGTTAGTTGAATTTATTACCAACAAAATCAGAACAAGATAATGAGAAGCAAAATAAGACCTAAAGAACGCCTCCCCTCCAGTGCCCCCATCTCCTTCCCAGCTCTGTGCCCTCAGGCCCAGGGAGACAGGGAATGGGGGTTACAGTCAGTTCATCTCACGTTGTTTCTGCTGCTGCTCAGAGGAAGGAGTTCTACAGCTGCTCCAGCATGGGATCCTCTCTCCACAGGTCTGCAGATTTCTGCCAGGAGCCGCTCTGGCACAGGCCTCCCATGGAGTTACAGCTTCCTCTCAGCCATCCACCTGCTCCAGTGTGGGGCTCCTCCAAGGGCTGCAGGTGGATCTCTGCATCCCCATGGCCCTCCAAGGGCTGCAGGGCACAGCTGCCTCACCATGGGCTGCACCAGGGGCTGCAGGGGAATCTCTGCTCTGGCACCTGGAGCACCTCCTGCCCCTCCCTCTGCACTGACCTTGGGGTCTGCAGAGCTGTTCCTCCCACATGTTCCTCTCACCCCACTCTTCTCTGGCCACAATTACATCTGAGCAGTAGCTTTTTTTTTCCTTCTTTTTAAATATGTTATCACAGGAAGGTTATTATCAACTCTGGTTGGCCCAGCGTTTTCCAGTGCTGGTTCTGTTCTGGATCTGGCTGTCATTGGCTCTGATGAACATGGGAAAGTCTTCTGGAATCTTCTCACAGAAGCCACCCCTGTAGCCCCCTCCCCCACTGCCAAAAGTGTGCATCAGCCACACAGACACAATAGGTTACATGGGTAGACAGGGCGGTGGATTGAGAGCTGGTGAATGGCAGACCCCAGAGGGCTGTGATCAGTGGCACAGGGTCTAGTTGGAGGCCTGTCACTGGTGGTGTCTGCCGAGGTTCAGTGTTGAGCTCAGTGTTGTTTAAGGTATTCATCAGAGATTTGGATGAAGGACCAGCGGCCTCCTCTGCAAGTTCACTAATGACACAAAGTTGGGAGGAGTGGCTGACACCCCAGAGGGCTGTGCAGCCCTTCAGGGGTACCTTGGCAGGCTGGAGAGATGGGCAGAGATCTGTCTGAAACTCAGCAGAGACAAATGCAGCATCCTGCACCTGAGGAAGAATAATGCCAGGCACCAGCACAGGCTGGGGGCCGACCTGCTGCACAGCAGCTCAGTGTAGGACCTGAGGGTCCTCTAAAGGCTAAGGTCTTGTTGACAACTTGTGAAATGGGCAATAGGCATGACAGATTGAGATTCATGATTTATACAGGATGAAGAGTACTTGAGTAGGTCTGCTACTATTGAGGCAATAAATAATAGAATCAGAGAATTGTAGAGTAGTTTGAGTTGGAAGGCACCTTTACAGATCATCTAGTTCCAAACCCCCTGCCATGGGCAGGGTCAC